CCTTAGCGCATCGATGTTAAAAACCTGTACGTGAAAAATAGATAAAAGAAGATAACTACAATTAAATAAGTTTCTGAGTAGTATTACATATATGAAAAAAATCAATGTCCTAGGTAGACTTTGTCTCGCACTGTCACTGCATCTGATAACTTCAACTTCTTGAACGTCTTTCAATTCTGTCGTTTGTGCTCTGCTTCGCTCGTTGCTTCCATCAGATTTTGTGGGAAGAGTACACTGACAGATACATTAAGTTTTTCCTCATCTCCGTAGTTTCCGTCGTATGGTCTCTCTTTTGGATCTTATGGAGGAAACGATGTCTTTCTGGTGCGGAGCTTGACGGCGGAAGGATAAATATGATTGTTGGTATTTTGGATTCAATCCCGGGTGATTATTTCGAGCTGAAGTCCAGAGTGATTTAAATTTTCATTTGGATGTATCGTTTTTTATTTAATAAATACGATTTATCTTTCCTTATTTTCCTTAATTTCTGATGCAAAATTAAAGAAACGGGTACTGGGTAGTGAGAAACTATAGGGAGAGGGGAGACCGTGAAGAAAGATGAGAGGGTAGAAATCGGTGTTGGAGCTGCAAGGTTGAACCTGTGTTTTTGGTATGAGGTTTGTGTGTTTGTTGGAGTCTCAGATGTGATTTGAACGGTGGTGCTGGAGACTGCTTATTCACAGAGAGAAGAATTTTTGAGTCTTAAAAACACAGGTTAAAAAACAACAACTAAAATAGGATACCATTTTTGAGTCTTAAAGAAAATTGTTTTCAAGAAAAGTTCTTAAGAAATGTTTTGAGAAATTATAAAAAATTTCAAATAGGATATCAAACAAGGTGTTTTTGGTGTTCGCCCCCCTCCCCAGATTACCCAAAAAATAAGGAAGATAACTACAATTAAATAAGTTGCTGAGTAGTAATACAGATACGAAGAAAATCAATGTGCTAGGGGACCAAACCTCCTTGCTAGTGGGATTAACACTGATGATGGGAGGCTGCGGATACGCTTTATGCTTGAAAAGAACCAGCCTTTGGAAAACCTCGGTAATTTCAGGAGGGGCAGTGCGTATAAGTTCCCAAAACTTTTCCTTGGCCTTTGCCTCCTCTGTATTAATTAGAAAAATAAAATAGATTCAACAATATTGGACTAATGGCAAATGCAATATATAATGTCCCTCGGGAGTCATATCATGCATCCACAACCGACCTTTTTCTTGTTGGCAGATTGTAAGCTGTCCATCAAGCTTGTTGAGGATGAAGCCCATTTTTTGAGAAAAAGGGGATAGATCATATGACTTAATGTCCCTGAAATAATTTAAGAGCAAATCAAATGATAGTCAGATATATAATTAGCAAATTTATAATATACCAAACCTTCAAGATGTTTTAACTGCAAGAAATCCAGTTTTAAATTTGGATTATAGCAAATTTGACTTAATGTCCCCGAAAGTTTGGATTGTAAGAAATCTGCCAGTTTTAAATTTGGGGGGTGGCTAGTTTTAATTTATGTTAGTGGGTAAGGTGTGGACTTAGTCTCATAGGACAATTGTATGCACCATATTAGTTTCCTAATTGAAGGGCTTAAATTGCTTTTAGCTAGTTGTCTTTGTTTTGTAGTGAAGAAGAAGAGATAAGATTGTACAAACAACCAATGTTTGAATCAATGAAAATATCTTGCAGTGCAGCTACGATTAGCTCCTACAATTCTCTCTGAAATTCTCTGTGTTGTTCTTCATTCCTTGTTCTTAGAAATTACATCACAAAAACACTGTCAAATATAGATTTTAACAAAAGAACCCTTTTAGTTTTACACACACACACACATAAAACCCGTATACGTAGTTGGCAAGAAGAAATGTTTTTGTTTTCTTTTATCAAATCTTAATAGAAAAATTAGTACAAGAACTTACTCGTCACCGGTAAGAAGTGAGAGCTCAGTTGTGCAAGCTACAAGAGTTATGATTGACCAGAAGGCATTAAATGGGGTATCCATAATTACCCTCGCCAATTTTGGTTCACTGTCTCGATCACCAGAAATTAGTTTCTCCAACTCAAGGATGTGCTCAATCACTTGTAACGCTTGGTTGACCAGATTGTTAAGCTCGACTACTGCATCTTGGCGTTTCAGCGTTGTCGATTTCTTGGAAAGTTGGCTGGAACATTCTTCATATTCCAAAGCAAAAATCGCCAGGGCCAATACTACCTGTACTTCACATGGATAACTTGATAGTCTTGTAAGTATTTCTTCCGTACGTGATTCAAAGGCAGTTTCATCACCTGGACTCTTACACGACGTCTGAAATTGCATCATAGTGTTGTTAACAACATAAAACGGGACAATAGGGTTTTCATCTTTGGATAAAATTAACACTTTTTCATTGGAAGATGCATCAATGAAGATACGATTAAAAGTGCTAAAAAGGAAACTAAAAAAAATCTTATTAATTTAACATCAAACTTCAATCAAAATATATTTGACAATGACAATATAATTTCTTAAACAAAAATTAAACAGCATTTCTCATTTTCACCAGTAATTACTAAAAGGATTACCAAATTAAGAACAAAAAGAAAAATAGTATTCAGTTAATACGATGACCTTGCAGCCAAAGGAGTTAACAAGAGTGCACAAGCTGGAGCTGGCTTTGGGTGTTTCAACATCATTAAATCCGCTGCCCTGCGACAAGACATGCAAAAGTGGTAATCATCTTTGGGTGTTTCAACTAATATCTAATTATTCTTAAACACTAAGACATTACTGAAGTGCATTTCTTTAAACATTTAATCTGAGTTTTTTTTTTTCACAAATCAAGCTATCCTATATTGACGAGGAAAAGGATCCTTGCCGGATCCTTTTCCTATGGATCCTAAGGATCCCACAATCGTGTTCGTTTATCGTACATTGTGCAGTCAGAAATTATTTAAAATTTAAAATGCAAATATAAATATTACCTAACGAAAATTGACCGCACAATGTTATTGTTCATCGTACGGACATGATTGCGGGATCGCTAAGATCCCTAGGAAAAGGATCCTCGCATGATCCTTTTCCTATTGATGTAACATTTAGGCTATTTTTGGGTACTGCTGATCAATAAATCGAGTCAAGTTTCAAGTTTGCAATTAGAAGTTTGTCCATAGTGTAATTCTCATAACATAACACTCAGAACGGGAAGAAACAAAAAACAGTCGCAAGGAAAAAATATGAAAAAGAAAAAAAATCACGAACAGTTTAGAGTTGTCGAGTGCCCACTATTATAAAAAAAAAAACACTAAATGAGCACTATTTTCTTTCTGCTTAAAGTTATTAAGAGCAGATAGAAAGATGCAGCAGTATAAATACCTGCTCAATAATATTGTGAATGATGTTGGCCGAATCCTTAATGATTTTCTGACTAGTCGAGAAAATAGCATGAACATCAAAGCTGGCATGGCCCTCATCAGGAACAAGGTAATTAACTGCAAAAATGAGCTTCATTATTTCGTTTTGAGGCCTGTCGAAAAGGCTGATCCGTTCACTACCCTCACCCTCACCCTCACACCCTCATTCATCCTCATCCTCATCATCTTCCTCATCCTCTCCTTCTCTGTTTTTCTGGTGCACCCTCTGTGCTCTCAACTCTTAGAAAACAAAAGACCACACTATTCTTTTCACCAAAGAATGGTGCTTTCACCGAAAACATAGCCTTTTTCCATTTACAGAAGTCAAAAGAAAAACAAGGATTGTTCCCTTTGTCTCCCCTTTTCTTTCTTAGCCGAAAGTGGATGCCAAGTTCACCAAAGAATGGTGCTTTCACCGAAAAAAAGATCCTCTCAGTGTTATTTTTTTCCCCACTTTTGCACAGAAAAATGGCGATTTTGCCCATCGTCTCAACCCGTCGATCATCATTCCTGTTTTCCATCTCTCTTCTCTCTCTCTCGCACTCCCTTTTTTCCTTCTCCAGCCTTTGCATATTTCTGGTCTCCGTTATCAACGTCCGTTTGCAAATTTTCTCAATCCTGCGAATCTATTCGCAGTGTTTGTGCTTTTTTCCATCTGGGATTTCCGGGTTGTGGCCGGAATTTTGGCCGATTTCCACCCCTTTGGGCGCGGCCTATCTTCAGATCACTGTGGAATCGATCTTATTTAGCTAAGGTGTGTTTTTATAATGATTTTATTTCAGTTTTATTTTGAATTTTTTGCTAATTTGGATGAAACCCTAACGATTTCGTTTTGCTGTCAGTTGTGGCGCTTTGTTGGGGCTTTCCAGGCTAAAAGAGTATAAATTTCCCAGAAACTCGACGAACTCAGAGAAAATAGTTGCAGCAGCTGTGACTTCTATTTTTTTTTCTCTCTTGGAAATGGTATGAACTCTGATCACTCTGTCTCGATCAAATCTTACAAAGTTTTCAGCTTTTTCCAATTTTAATTTCTGGGTTACTGTTCTTTGATAACTTCCTCATCTGGGCAATCCCAATTGTCGTTTGTATTTTTCATCTGGGAGGAGTTCTTGAATGCTAATTAATCAATGTTAGTAGATTGTTAATTATTAACTTGATGTTTAAGCATGGACATTTGGGAATTTCCAGGTTTACAGTTTTTTGTAGATTTCGTTTTGCTGTCAGTTGTGGTGCTTTGTTGGGGCTTTCCCGGCTAAAAGAGTACTTTGCGTTTTGGTTGCTCAATTGGATTGGAATCATAAGTAATCGCTATGGACATAGACATTTTACTTGAAGCGTCAAAGAACACCTCGACGCCAAAGCTTCCCAGGTGCATCTTCAGAGTTCCTGAAGTTCTCCGCAGACATAACGTACTGGCATACGCACCTGACATTATCTCAATCGGGCTTTTATCATCCACGAGACAATGTACAATTTCAAGCTATGGAAAATCTGAAATACGAGTATTTGCGCGACCTTCTCTTACACATGGATCGGTCACACGACAGGGATATGGAGTTAGAAGCATCGATCAATAAACTCATCAATTACATTTTAGATCACACAAGAAAGTACAAGCCATGGCTGAGTTTGAGAAAAAAGCTCGTGATTTTTATGCGCATCCGTTTGATCCTCTGATGAAAATGGAGTTTCTCCACATGATGATACTTGATGGTTGCTTCCTAGTACAAATATTTAGGAAGTTTGTGAATAAGGAACAGAGGGACATTAATGACCCTTTATTCAACATGGATTGCATGTTCCAGTACATATGCCATGACCTTTTGCTCTTAGAAAATCAGATTCCTTGGTTTGTCCTCCAGTCCATGTATGAGCTCACCGTGAAGTATTACCAGAACCATGAGCGCTGCCTCTCGGAACTCATCCTCACCGCGCTCAGCTCACAACCACAACTGTCCCATAACTGCCGGTGGTATCTGGATCATCTAAGAGGAAATAGTTACAAAGAGGACGAAAGTGTGCTCCACATTCTCGATCTCATAAGAACTTCCATAGTTTTCTCATTCACCGAACGCTATGAGAAACCTCCCTTCGATGCAAAGATACAACTGATAGCTTCAGCAACTGCTCTTTCTGAGGCCGGCATTAGATTCAAAATGAGCTCCGATGAATGTAAAAGCATAATGAACATCGAATGCGAGAATGGGGTTATTATGATTCCACATCTAGAAATTGGAGAGTTAACTGAATCGATATTCAGGAACCTGATCGCCTTGGAGCAATGCTGTGTTATGGTCGTTCGCATAAAATCACATCTTATGCCGTTCTGATGGATAACCTCCTCGGCTCTAGCAACGATATAAAATTTCTCTGCGACAAGGAAATTATAGGTAACTGGCTGAGCGCTGAAACTGGTTCTGAGTTCTTCAGCAAGCTTTACTGCGACACGGTGCTTACTTATTTCTACTATGGTGGACTCTGTACTCGAGTGAAGGAATACCAAACTGCATTGAGGAGGTGGCGAGAAATATTCAAGCGTAACTATTGGTCAGATCCATGGAAAGCCACCTCCTGGACTGTAGCAAGTATCCTTCTGATTCTCACCTTAGTGCAGACTGCATACACCATTAAGCAATACTATTCTCCTCAGGGATGAAGTTTGTGATTAGTTAAATCTGTGGCATGTAATTCATTTTAATTTTACAACGTATTTTTTTTAGTATAAGAATGTATTTTAATTTTTGTTTTCAGGTATAATAATATCAACTCGTATTTTTTTTAGTATAAAAATGTGTTGTAAAGCTAAGATTGTGTTTTAAGAAACAAAAAACACAATAATTTGTCATCCACTTGACTACGTATATCCCCGGAATCTTAAGAAGTATTATAACCTCATTCCAAAGAGCACTTGAGCAAAACCTATATTGGCTAGAAATTCATAACATGCAAAATTGATTCTTTTTCAACATATGCATTTCTATTTCTGTTTTTGCAACAGAGTCAAATCCAACCATCAGATTTGGCCTAAAAAATAATCAGTTAATTGTACTTTAAGAAAAGAAAAAAAGATTCGCGCTTAAATAAAATAGTTTGAACCACGCCAATCAATTCATTTGGTATGCCAAATTTTGATACACGAAAAGTTTGGTATGGTAATTAGTATGAGATTTTTGGTACAGTAAACATATCGAAACCACCAAAACGATCTCTCATTTTATTGATTTTTGGTAAGGATGATTTTCAAATGAAAATTAAGTTTGAACTGTTTTGATTAAAAATGTATACAGTGAAATTATGTTATTCGCAATGGTGAGTTTTGTGCATTTCCCTAATGGGGAATGCAAGTATTATTCATAAATAGGTTTTGGTCTTGGTATTAAGTAAATGAAAATGGGTCATTAGATAATCAGAGAGTTGATAACTAATGCAACGAGAAACGGAATAGCTAGGATCAATCATCGTCAAATCCTAGATCATAAGCTGAAGTCCACTTGCAATCTGAAATCTACCAAAAAATAGAGAAAATTCTAAAGTTGAATTAACAATAAAATGAATAGATTGTTGAAATTGAACCCTAAAAGTTGTTTATATAGTCTTATTAGCAAACACTAGCTACAAAAGGAAAATAAAATAGGAAGTAATTAAAATTATAAAGACTTCCAAAAATATCAAAAATACGGAATAAATGTTTCTAGCAGAATGGTCCCAAGACCAATAATCCTGAAACTTAGGTGCAAGTTTTTGGAGAACAAGTCTTGAGACTAGAAACCTAGATATTTGTCAAAACTGACTCTTCTTTCTTTTTCGCTTGTCAAGCTACCTGAAAAGTCTAGAACATTAACTTTTGACATATGACAACAATAAATAATCTGCTGACCCTGGAATTTTCAATTCTCCAGTCACTTTTCTTCATTAAATGCCGCTTCCTTCTTTTAATTTTTTTACATCTTATTAGGGCCCAAAATTTACTAAGAAGCGCAATTATATTTGGAAGCATAATCATTATATATTCGTCACAAAGCTTAAATTTTTGCATAGAGTGCAAAAAGATGGGTATGCAAATTCACAATCATGCCACGACAATAGAGATGATAATTCGGACATTCGAAAAATCACGCTAAGCCCATGCAGCACACCTATTCATTATGCCAAGTCATATCAAAACAATTGTAATATTAATATATCAACATTTTAATTCGAATTATGCCAAACATCCGACACTAAAATAGGCCTAAGCCACATAATGGGGCTTGCCGAGTGGGTTGTGGTATGGATGATTACGAAAGTCTGAGCCTAGGTGGAATTAAAGCTTGTGAAGATTTTAGGACTCCATAAAGACAATGGCTCAGGATTTACTCCTTACTAGCATAGTGTGACATATGCACTTAACATCACAATAAAGTACATTAACAACTCACAAACACATGGAGTATGATACATCACTGAAAACACTACAAACAATAAGATGAAAACACATGGAGTATGATTCTTTAGTTGAAGTTTTATAACCTATAATAAACAAATTTGTTTATTATAGCAACTCGGGATTTTCTACTACTTTTTTAGAAAAATTGCTTTTGTGTTCCTAAAATGCCTTTCTTCTACTAATAAAACTGAAATGTGGTTATTTAGCTCCAAACCTACAACAACTGATTATCATTCCAAACTATGAACTCCTTTTGAACTTTAGAGAGGGAGAGATGAAAATTTGCTTAAGATTATCCATCACTTGTCTCCAAAATGGTTTTCTTGCATGTCAAGGCACTGCACTTCCAGCAGATTTATTTATACTGAGTGACACCATTTCAAATTTTAAACTCTTTCGACATTGTTTGCTGCCATTGCATGTAACCATAAGATGAGTAAGTGTCTGGTGATGTCCCTGATGCTTTATTTAAGGCATTTATTCGACAAGCATGCATAAACATAAGAACCTACTATTAAGATTACCTGGTTTCCTTAGAACAGTAACTCTTCAAAGACAGCCAACTTATGTTCAACACAGAACACATCCCGGGGGATCTCCTTTCCCGTTAAATCAAGCAAGGAAGTCAACGGAACAGTTGAGGTAATACGAAAAAATGGGTTTCGGCTGACCAAGATTGATATAGTTTGCACTATAATTTCATGTGTCTCGTGAATTGACCACGACTCTCCAAGCATTTTCCTGAAAAATGCTAAATTTAATCAAATAAAATATTTAGGATAATAAAATAAAAAAAAATTAAAGCAAAACACAAAACAAAGTTCCATGAACATTGGATCTCATGCTTTAGCCATCACTTGCAAAAACAAAACTATGTTTGGAATCATGACATGTTTGGCAATCCAAAGCAAAAAACTACAGTGCTAATAAAATTGTTAATATTAATGACAACCATAAAGATGATAAGACAATTTTAGGCAGATGAATCCACACTCTTAAAAGTCTCTAACTTTAGTTTCTCCCATGGCCCTGATGTCTAACCTCTCAAAATCAAAATTAAGTGCACATAAAATAAGAGGGTACTGATAATTAATTTCTCATTTCAGAAAATTCAGCTAAATAAACCACCACAACCACATGGTCATAAAGAGTCTTAAAACAAGGAAAAGGTTAGAGACAAAACTCAAACTCAAAGCATCTTTTATAGTTCCCAAAACGCACACAATAAGCACTGTCCATCCCTTTTCCTTCAATAGACAATGCATCAACTGTATGCGCGCATGCATCCAGATAGAGAAAGTAAAAAATCATAACATACAGCTGCCCCCTACCTAATCCTGTGAGAAGCCTGCGTGATAAACGCCTGCGGACGAACTCCCACTTCAAATCTACTACATTTTTCACTAACCCAGATTCCATAACTTCCAAAGTAAGACAATGCCAACACCTCGTTTTGTTGCAAATGAATGTTACATCACACCCAAAAACAACCTCGCAACTTTTTAAATCCAATAGAAAGTCCCTCTTACTAAAAGTATCAGGAAAACCACACTCACTTTTTCCTTGCAACTGCTTTGACGGACCAAGTTGGGTGATGCCATTACCACTTATGCTTTGGTTCTCAGAAGATCGATATCTAGACCGAGTTGACCTCAAATTCCACTCAGGTCCTAAAACTTGATCCTTGACCACGGGTTTTGGTGCATTTTTAGTCTTTTTAAACTTTTTAGCATCCATCTTGCCTTTCAGGCCCTCCTTGGTGGTTTTCCTAATTTCCTGCTGTTTTGCAAACTCCAAAGTCTTTAAGACTAGCTTTTCCAAGCATTGTCCACTCAACACACTCTTCTTCAGGACAACTAACAGAATTTTTCCACTCAGAAATATTTAGTTTGGCAATGGCTGATTTATACAGGTTTTCAGCATGAGATAACTTATCTGAAGATGTACTTCTTGTATTTTCAAAAATGCTTTGGAATAAATCACCAAGGTTCTGATTAACTGTTGCTTCCAGCATCAATCTGCACTTCAAACAAGAAACAACAGAGCTGCTGTCCCCCAAATATTCCTTTGCACTTTGACGTTCAATTTCTGCCAAGTCCCAAAGCTGCTGCTTATGGTACTGCTTTCCTAAAGACACGCAAAATTGAACTGTAAATTAGCCAGGTATTACAATCTATTTATTTTGAAACCAGCGGCAAATAGGGATGGCAATTCTAACCGTTAAACCCGATAACCGTGGATAACCGCCCGAATGGATTGGATTTGGATATGAAAATTCGGGTATGGTTTGGATATGGGGAAAAACCGTGAACTTTATTCGGTTATGGTTTTGGATATGGTTATAAGGGTCCCCAATCCGTATCCGTCCCCGAATCCAACCCAAATATTATATATATATATATATGTATATATTTGATATATAATATAATTTTATTCAATTTATCGAACCCTCCCTATACTAATTCATTATGCATGCATCAAACCCTATACTATCATTATTATGCACCAAACATCATGCATGGGGCATACCAACAACCTTATTAATTCCATACTCTTATTGTTATACTCAACCAAATTAATTCATTGAATCATTTTATATATCAATTATCAAATGTTACAAGTTTATCAGATTCGTCTCTCTTCAAAGAGTCTTACTGTCAAGAAATTGGTGCATGTTATCATGAACAACTTCAAATATATTGTTATGTTTTTTGTAATTGGATGTTGCTATTTAATGACGGAATTAGTATCTACTAAAATTTATAATGCGTCAATTGGATGAATATAATTTGTTTTTGTTTTTTGACAAAGATGGATATAACCAATAACCGATTGAAAACCCGTTATCCGGTGAATATGGTTATGGATAATCCCCGATGGTTAATTTGCGGTTATGGATATGGTTAATTTTCGTGGTTATGGGGATGGATATAGCCATTTCCGTCCCCAAACCGAACCATTGCCATCCCTAGTGGCAAATGAAGAAAAAGTTGTTAGACATTGAACAACAATTGAAGAGAAGTTATACCCAAGACAGTAGAAAAAAAACAATTGTAAATAGTGGTAAGCTTTTGTGAGCAGGAAAAAGCTTTTCCAAATTGTAAAAAACCTTCGGCCTCAGCTCCATTACCAATGATTTCGAGGATAACCTGCAGGTTATATTGGAGATCCAAATTCAAATCCAATCTTTGTAAAAGAAAGTTCCAGACTTTAATTAATAAAATGATTGA